GCGGGGGGCGAATGCGTTGCAGCGGGTATTAATCTCTTTCCGCTCATTTTGTAGCAGCAGGAGAGGACCCCCCCCTCCCTCCGCCGCCTCCCTCCCCCAGGCATGCTGGCACTGCCCCGCTGAGACGTGCAGAGTTTGGGGTTAACTTGCACCTGGCCACCCTGGAATAGAGACTCTCCGGACCGGATCAGTTGGGGTTTGTTGTCTATGTCTTGTTGGGAAATCTGGTGGATTTTTTTCTCACTCGTGGAGGAAGAGCCTGGTGCTGGCAGTTGGCTTCGTGGTCTTTTTTGGAGGGCGAAGGAAGGGAAGGGATCTCGCTTGAGCCGTGCAGAGAGAGAGCTCGGACATGTGTTGTCAGCACATCTGGGGAATACAGTCTGCAAGTCCAAAAGGAAATTTGCTGGGATCGTTCAAACTGCGATATTGATCTTTGTTATTTTTTTTCGCCGAGGGATGCACTTGGCATGAGAATCGGAGGATGGAAATTGTTTGGGAGGTGCTTTTTCTTCTGCAAGCGAATTTCATCGTCTGCATTTCAGGTACGCAGCTAGCACAGAAAGGACAGGGAGGCAGGGGAAATACCATACAGGGTTCCCAGGCTTCCCCTTAGCAAGGGGCGAGAGGTACAGTTAAACCCAAATCAAAACAGTAGTTGAAAAATACACGAACAATGTATTTGTGAGTGGATTGTGATGGAAATCAACAAACATCAATCCCCCTCCCCTTAATGCCAATACCTGTGTAGCAATTACGATACACGGGTTGCAATAAATAACTACAGTGTACTGATTAAACAGATGCTTATAATTCCTAATGTACCTGATTGTGATAGTTAATCGCAACATTGCAGTAATCCCAGAATTTCATAGCTCCTGAAGTTCTTTAACTCGGCCGATCTGTGGATGTTAAAAGGTTTGCGGTTCATTGGCAGAGTTGTCATGTTCTGGTACCACAGTTCAGGGTCTGCAAAGCAAGGAATGACACTGAAGAATGTGCGTTTGCTTTTAAAAGGAGCTTTACTGTGGCTGTGCTCTGAAAATGAATTTAAGAAAAAAATAGCCCCCTTCAAAGAACTCCTTGGTTGCTGGGATTCCAGCTTTAGGCTTCTCATTTTAAGCTTGCAAGGATCTCTCTCCCCTCCAGTATGTAGAAGTCGGGTAATTTCAGTTGTCACCAGAGCTTGTCCAATTAATGAATAGGCACGGCCGGGTGTCTAGCGTAAAGGATTGGAACAATTTATTCTTGGGGAAAACACTCCCTTCTACTGCAAAAGCCCTGGCTGCCTTGTTAATTTGTCATGTCAGTCATGCTGGAATAATTATGTTGCAGGAGGCAGGAGTGGGGAGGTGGCCAGTTTTGTAGTTCGGGACACTTCAGGGAGCCCCATGGGAATCCAGGCTGCCTGCGTCTCCTGCTGTTCCACTTCTCTGCAGGCTGCCTCTGCCCTCAAGTCATTGCATAAATCCAGAAATGGGAACGCAGGCAGCACAGGCAAGGCACTGCGGGGCGGGGGCGTAGGGGGTCCTGGTGGACATCTCAGTGTCCAGTCTGGAGGTGCTCAGGGAGAGGGAGCTCCAAAGCTCCCTTGGGGCCACGCAGAGACTGGCCTGGGCCAGCTGCCGGCTCCCAGCCAGCCAGCAGCCCCTGCAGCATCTCACCCTGGCAGTGCCTGCCCCCACTGCGCTTTCTGCAGCACTTCCTGACTGATCCACCCTTACAGCCCTTGGACTGGCGACACTTACGCTAACATTTGGGGTGGCAGCATCTATGTTTATTTGTATTGCCTGCACCTGCCCCAAAACTTTTTTATTCCTGAGCAAATAGTGTTGCTGTCGGCCCGCGGGGTATGTCAGCCCTTCTTTTATCCCTACAGACTGGCACCATCTGCTACCAGGCACCCGGATGACACTGGCAGCACCCCAGGCTGACCTTCCACTTGTGCCCATTGGTACCATCAGAATAATTCACTCTCTCACTCTTTAGAACAGCAAAACCTGCTGCCTCTTGTCATTTAAATCTCACACTTATCTATTTAGCTCAGCGTGATATGCCACCTGTCCAGTTCTCTTCAAATTAGGCACTTCTTAAAGTACCACAGTGAGACTGGAAAAATGAAGCTCATCGCTTTCTTGGCCATTCTGACAGTAATATCCTGAGACAGAAAGAAGCTGTCCCATTCTGTGCAGGTCCTTATGCCACGCATTTAGCTGCCAGTGTTTCCTAATCTCCCCCCCTCCTTTCCTCATCTTCAGACATGGGAACCGGGGCTTCTGAAACTGATAGTGCGATCAGTCCTGCAGGGGCTCTCATCGCTCTCCATCTCCCTCTAGCACTAAGAACAGACTGATATCCATCTCTCTTTTCTTCTTCTCTTTTTTTGTTCTTTTTTTGGGAATGAAGTGAATAAATGAATGCTGGGATGCTTTTGCTGCATGGTTAAAGCTGTGGTTTCAAACAATTTTAACCACATAGAGGATGTGTGCATGCATTTAGGCTTTTTTTTTTTTTCTTCCTCGGTATTTTTATTTTTTTCAGGAATCCTTGGGATTTGTCATCTTGGTAAAAGGGATTAAGATCTGTAGATATCTGACTGGCACTAATGCTTTGTATCTTTCCTCTGTCATCCATTTCACACTATGTTTTGTAGCATATTATCTAGCTGGGATGTCTGGATAACAATGTAAGTAAGAGAAGATGTAATGAAGCCTGTTAGGTTTGCCTCAACGCTGGATTCCAGAAACTGGGTATTTTTAGCACTTCAGTACTGGTCATTCATTCAACATGTTACTTAAAAAAAACACTGGTTGAGCACACTGCTGCAAATTACAGGGATGTGAATTAAGGAATGTGGTAGTAGTATTTTTTTGTTCTTTTTTCTCTTTCTTATTAAGTCAGTTGTTTCAGCAATGAAGATACAAGACTGGTCTTCTGTGCATGGATCTTTCCTGAACATTAGTAAACACTTGATTCAGTGTGTATTTAAACCTGTGATGGCCCTCCTGCTAATTCCAGTGGTTATTTGGATTATGGCCTGTTAAGGGCTGCTGTTCAAAGGGATGATGTCAGTCACTGAATTGAACAGACTATTAAGTTAGTTTATCATTATTAGTAAACTTATTTATTAAACATAGGTTCAATCTTATGTCACACTGTCTTTTGCTATGTATTTACATGACATTTAAATATAAATTATGCTGAATGTAGCACTTATGCTGTGTTTCTTAACTAAAATAAATAATGAAGTTATACAAATGGCTTTTTTGTGTCTCTCACATGCGTGAATTTTTGTGAGACAGTATATGGAAAGTAATTTCATCTATTAAAAAAAGGCACATATATTTTCAAAATATTTTATACCTAACATATTTTTTATCAGTCAGTTACCTGTGCGTATGATCAATTGCTTCATTTGGAAGAAATGATACTGAGATTTAGGAATAATTATTTTTTTAATTACTGGCCCTTGTGTTTGGGAAATAATTTATCTGTGAACTTCGTAAACTGAATATTTTTGTTTTCTTGGCATACTGAATTAAGGCTTTTGCTACTTGAAGTTGCTTGTTTGAAAGGAGAATCTAGTTTCTTTGTGCAGATGCAAATGAGAAATAAGAACAGATTGAAGGACCAAGAAAACAATTTCTATTCTTTAGAAATAAATGAAAGCCCTCTCTTTCCTTCTAAGTTATGATGCATATTTATTCCTTTGAGTTGTAGTCTCTGAGGAAAAATAGTCATGATTTGTATTATGACTTTTGAGGTTTTGTTCCTTTTAATGATACTACAGCATAGAAGGAACACAGGGCAATGGAAGTGAAGATGTCCTGTAGATAGAATGCTGACATAAGACCTCTCTGGTTGTTGTTCCTTTGAAGATGCAGATAATCATGGCACAGGGATTATACTGTTCATATAGAAAGAGGATCATAGTTGTTGGTATGATGTCCAGAATTTCCTTCCTGGGTGATAATATTACCAAAGATTAATTAGCATCAGCGTTCTCAGGTGGGATGTTGTTGATCCCATAATGGCTGCCACCTTTGTTTGCATAGTCATTTGTATAAATCATGAGCAATTTTTTTGTGATTTGTACTAACAATCAATTTCAAGAAAAAAACCAGGATGCTGTTTTCAAACCCTTGCACGATAGTTCATTTAAATAAGAAAATGCTACTGTCGTGGGCATTGATTAAGAAGGTTTCTATGTCCATTTTCTCTTAATTCATCAATGAAATGATGTATAAAACCTGCATGTTCAACATCTTTGTGGCTTCCTATGAACTGATATATTACCTCTTATTGTTTTGGCTTGCGGGAACTAATATGGATGAAATTCATGCAGTCCCTACAGCTCTCTCATTATTTGGAAGTATTTTCATCCTTTGCTGTTGTCCTCAAGTCACGTAGGGACAGATCCCTTTTATGATGTAACTTCTTTGGCCTGTTTGGCAGCACACAGGGGTGATAAATCATGTATCATGAACAGCTAAGATGGTATAAAAAAAATCCTGTCTATCAAGGAATTCCACTGTGTATTGAGCATCTCATGTAGCATCACCTGGCATTGAGGGCTAGGGGTGTATTTGGAGCACAGTTGCACTTCATTCTCTGTCTTGCTGCTTCTGCAGTCTCTGAGCTCTTACTACCTGGCATAACAGAGAGTTGTCCTATAGGAACTCTAAATTATGCCAAGGCTTGAATTACCCGTTGAATGATGGTCTGTAAGGTCTGATAACTCTTCTTCTCTTAGCATTGTACAACCTGAGATAATTCAAGCTAAAGTAGTCTTGTAGAAGAGAAGACTATCAAGGCTCTAATGTCCAGTAGTAACTAACAGTGAATCGTTCATTGTTATGTTTGGACAAAAATGTTGAAACCAAGTTAATTATTCTCAAATAGTGTCACTATTTTCTGGCACTTTTAAGTAAGAAATATAATATCCTAGGGGAAGGAATTATTCATAGCGCGCATATATATATATATATATGAGAGAAAGTAATCACTAGGCATATAGGAAGGTATAACATGCAGCCTGGTGCATCTGGTAGCTAAGAGCTTTTGGCATCCAATCCATTATAGTATTCTTTCCTGCTTTGTCCCATCTCCACAGCTTCATGTGTGTGGGCAAACCTTCATGCCTGCATGGAGTTTGTTGATGTTACTGAAAATCCACGTGGATTCGATCCTCCTGCTCACATTCAAACACAGGATGGAGGCCATATGTTGGATCCAAAGACTCTCAGTTCCTTAGCACTCGAATGCTTTCTCACTTCAGAGATGTTGCTGCCTTTTCAAAAGGTGTGAAGATGTTTCTGCTTTAAAGTTCTATGGAAATAGCCTTGTAGTCTCCTATAAATGTCTGCTTTACTCTTTTTTTTTTTTGTGTCCTGTATTTTTCATCATTCTATTTTTATTGTTAGTTTTACAGCTAGAGCGTGACCAGATAGGCGCTAAAGTGCCAAAACAACACACATATTTTTAGCTTATGTAAAGGTAGTAGAAGAGAATGTTTATGAATAGTTTTGCACGTATTGTGCTGAGC